GGTTTTTTTTTTTTTTTTTTTTTTTTCCTGCCTCACCACAAAATTTGGTAATAAAAGTGATCTACCCCATTCAACTTTCAAGTTTGGCTACAAAATGAAATGTTTCATTTTTAAAATTTTTGAGCAAAAAGTAGAAAAATTTTAAATGTAATCCAAAATCCCAATGTTCATTCCCATCTCACATGTAAAAGCATGAAAAATTCTCTGCAGTTTCTTTCCATATTAATAAACAGGGTTGTTTAGGAGGGGAAAAAACTGAAATAGCTTTTGCAGAATCAAAGCATGAAAAATAGTTCCTTACCACTCCTCATCTGCTCCACCTCACAGAAATGTGTTCCCGTGGGAGTGTGGATAAACGCATGGACGTGTTTAGCTCCATTCTGAAAAGGAGGAGAAAATTTTTTCTAGTAAAATTTCAACATATGCCATAAAGCTAGCTCTTTAATTGAATCGGGAGCATAAATGAGAGATAACCTTTTCAAAACGCTTCCAAGGGACTTCCTCAATGTAGACATGAGCTCGGGTGGCATGGTGAAAAGAAGAGAGGAAATGCTCACAGATATTCAAAGCAAACGTTTCTATGCTTTTAATCTGTAAAAGAAACAAAATGCTAGTGATAAGAAATACTTGACCCACTAAAAAATAATTTAAACATTCAGGGATTCTCTCTCTCCCCCCCTCTCTCTCTCCCTCTCCCTCTCTCCCTCTCTCTCTCTCTCTCTCTCTCTCTTTAAAGTGCACTTAAGAATAAGAGAAGCATAAAATTGGAAAGAAATTCAATAGATAAGTTTTCCATGAGGGTTCCCAAGGTTAGTCCATAAATTGCCATCACTAGGTGAGACTAGCCTGTTTTTAAAAAGAATTGTGTTTTACAAGAAAAGGTGAACAAGAGTTGATGAGCAAAAAGTAACCCCAGATTCTTCTCACAGTGACCTTCATCATAATCAACATCGACAACCTTGCGCTCCATAACACTTCGATCTCTTTAGGAGCTTTGCAAATGGGCCTCCCTTTCCCAAGACAATGTTAATGAAGAGCCATGTCACCATTCTTGGTCTGTGAGCAGGCCTCGTATTGATTCTCCCTGGCTCTCCACTCTCAGAAGGCAACTCTCCTTTCTCACAGATTCTCCACCTTAAATTCTAGGCACTAGGCCTAGCTATTGTAGGAGGAACTGCGCCTGCCTAGCAAGCACAAGGTCCTGAGTTTGATTCCCGGTACCAGAAAAAAAATTCTAGGCAATTAGTTTGAGGTCCTAGCACAATCTATGAATTAATTAATAATGGCTCTGCCTATAATTAAGGTGGACTATTTGTACAGGTTTTTCCAACATACTTCTGTTTTACATTGTTGTCCCAACATAATTATTAATAACATCCTATTCTACGCTCAAAAGAATCGTGATTTGGATAAGAAATTGTATGATCACTCTATCAATAATGAATGAACTTAAATTGTTTTTAACATTCAGGTCTATTCACTCATGTTTCTTCAACTTTTCACACAGAACAGGATACCCAGCCAACTGTCGTACCTGGCTCTCTTCTATATCATAAGACAGTCCTATTTTCAACTAGTTTTTTAAGAGAGCGCTTTATTTTTCCATACCTGTCAGTTTGCTGGACCATTCTGATTAATAAGATAAAAACTCAAGGTAGAAATAAGCCTTGCAGAAATTACATTGCAATTAGTTTGTTCATTTACTGGGCTGTGAATGTGGATTTCATGTTTTTAAAAATGAATTTTCCAATCTATATATCTTGCCTTTTTAGAATTCTTAGTAAATAAAAAACTTAGCAATCATCTTGATTGACCCAGAGCTCTTCTAGAAAACCAACACAGCTTTATTCATTCTTAAAAAAAAAAAAAAAAGAGAGGTCAAACTGCTAAAAAGTCAGGTTCTATCAGATATAAGCAGTTATAAAAAATCAATTAACCACCACATATGGACATAAATGGCAAGGAAGTTGAGGAGGCTAAGAAGGCGTTAAAATTTGGAAAAAATAATTTAAGAATAAAAAGATTACTGACATTTAGAAATTTGAAGAAAGGAGCTAAAGGTGTAGGGAAGGTGTGATGCATAGGGGAAGAACAAAAAGGGAAAAGAAAAAAATGTGAGAGAATGAAAAGATGCAAATAAAGTGTTTGTAGATGGGGAGGGGAGGAGGGGGTGAAGGGAGGGCAGAGGTAAGGGGAAAAAATGAGAATCAAGACTTGCCATGTAAAGGTACATGATCCCAACAATGAATGTAACTGTACTGTATCCCTAAATGTACCAATAAACTCAATAAAAAAAAAAAATCAATTAACCACCACATATGGACATAAATGGCAAGGAAGTTGAGGAGGCTAAGAAGGCGTTAAAATTTGGAAAAAATAATTTAAGAATAAAAAGATTACTGACATTTAGAAATTTGAAGAAAGGAGCTAAAGGTGTAGGGAAGGTGTGATGCATAGGGGAAGAACAAAAAGGGAAAAGAAAAAAATGTGAGAGAATGAAAAGATGCAAATAAAGTGTTTGTAGATGGGGAGGGGAGGAGGGGGTGAAGGGAGGGCAGAGGTAAGGGGAAAAAATGAGAATCAAGACTTGCCATGTAGAGGTACATGATCCCAACAATGAATGTAACTGTACTGTATCCCTAAAATGTACCAATAAACTCAATAAAATTTTTTTTAAAAAAAAGAAAAAAAAGAAATGTATCCGGTACTCAAGATTTTCTTCTGTAATAACAACAGGAAGAAAAATGGTATTTTCTATTATGAATGTACACATTCTAACACAAAAATAAATGATAGGACTCAAAGAAATACATGGCACACGTTAGATTTTACTCTGAAATCTTTCAGAACCTTGATTTGTTTATGATCCTAATTAGCAATACCATCCTAATTTACCCAATATTATTCTTGGCCTGAAAGATTGATGAAAGGAGACTAAAAATATGATTGTAAAAGAAAAGCAAAAGCAAGCTTTCTATGAAAGCCTGAGAATTTGAGGGTAGAATGGAAATTTTTAAAAATAGCTTAAGTAGGTTAAAAGGTAATGGGACCTTAAGATAAGCAGGTACTACGCCCACGCTATTAGCAAATTCTGCATCAAGAAAGGCAACGTGTAAGAAAAATGATACATACCCCTTTGAACTTTGCCAAGACATGAACTGTATTCTTGATGGTGTCTGTAGGGATGATGTCTGAATTATCTCCATGCAGGTAATCTTTTTTGGAACCCAGAGTAAGTTGCACTGATGTTGCCACCTCTTTAATACTGTGGTATTTTCCACATCGTTGGATACAGAGAACTTTTACCATATCCTTCCCATAGCCAGTTCGGACAAACTCCACTTCAGCATTCTGTAACAAAAACATAATCATCTTCTAAAAGAAGGCTAAATAAAAGCAAAAGGCCAACCAAAATTTCTTTAAGCTTTCATTTTATAGTGCATATCCTACAAAAGATGAGACCCAAAGTGTATAAAAGCAATATCACATCCTATCTCTGAAGAATGGAAACTTGTATAGAAAAAAGAAAATCCCAGGAAGCAAATGAAATACAGTAGACTGTCCTGAAGACAGATAGGTCGGTGGCTTTTGTAATAACAGTAATGCATGGTAATAATAGAATTCCCAGGACCTCTTGAATATGTTACCTGGAAATAATTCTGTATACTTTTATGTAGAAAGTAATATTCTGAAGAAAATACCTCTTAATAGAAAGAATTTTTAAATTGTTTTTTCTGTTTGCAAGCAGAAAGAAGAGTAATTGGTAAGAGGGTCCAGATTACTCTTAGGAGTTACAGAGCCAGGGTCATCTCGCTGCAAAGAGTGCTATGCTTTTAGTGAAGAGACACTTCTAAGAGCCTGCTGACTGGCTCATTAGAAGTCTTGTTCGACACTGAATCCTAAGCCAGTGAACACATCCATCTCTCCCAGCAAATCCACAAGATTCATCACTCGATTTTATTGGTGTTTAAGAGAGGAAGGACAAAAACTATTATCTTATTTAGCGTGGAAATTGGTCATTAAAATGGTAATGAAAGAAGATAACAAAAATGAAAGTAAATAAAAAACAGCAGACAGGGAGAGTCTGGAAGGGAGACAAGAAACCTCACCTGTAAATCACACTTAGGTTGCTCAGCTATACCAAGGGCTGTTTGCACATAAACTCACCAGGTCCTCTGAGAGGAACTGAAAAATACCAGTGAACATCGGAAAAGACTGCTACTTCTTTGGTTAGTTGATGAGAGGCCATTTCAAATCGTAAGGATAGGGCTGCACACTATCATAGACCATTTAAAATTTACTGGGGTTTGAGGCGTCTGAACTCAGGGCCACAGTGGAATATGACCAGGTCCAAATTCTGCCTTGGTACTTTGGTGGCTTGTGGAAAGGAATTCAATGTCTCGGGGCCTCATGTCCACAACTGCACCTCTGCCCCTAGGGTGGCTGGTGAATGTGAAAGGCCTGGTTCAGCTCCAAGTATCTGGTGACACGGAGAGGTCAATCCCAGCACCCATGCCCAGGTTCTCCCTCTTATCTGAATGTGAAAGTGGCAGCTGTAGCAGAGAGGACGTTGCTAGAGTGCACTGGTTTGGAGGAGGACAGCAGTAGGAGGAAGACCCCAGAGTGTCTTGAAGCCATGAAGGACTCTACCTCAGGGAGGAAGGTCTTTGGCTGTTTGGGGCCCCTGGATGGTACAGACAAAGGTCTCTGAGATCACTTATCACCTTCAATCTGCAGCAAGACTCAACACCTGTGACTTCTCAGCCCCAACCTCTACTACTAAATACCCAAGCTGGTGAAAGCGACTAGTGTCTGTGTAGTGTAGAAAGAGATCACAACATAACCACCCCTCATGTCCCTGCTCAACTCTCCAGCTTCTTATCTATTCTCTTATGACTTCAGACTCTTTTTAGCCATCTTGTGTTAATTGTGATCACCCAGGCTCTTTATGCTTTCCCTGTCTGTAAGCCTTTGAATTTACTAATTCTTCTTTCTAGAACACTTTTTTCTAACTACACAACCACCAACTTCTCCACCTGACTAATTTCTTGTAGTTATGCTTCTGATGTCTGAGCTAGTCCTTCAAACTTGGAGTAGATGCCCTTTTTATGTGCTTTCAAAATACTTGTTATCGCCTTAGAATCATTATCAAATTGTATTGCAATTTCCTCTTCATGTATATGATTCATTCCAAAACACTAAACTATGAAAGCCGGAACAAGTTCTATCTTAGTCACCATAGCAACTTCAGCATTCAGCAAAGTGCCTAGGACATAAATAGATACTTGATAAATGTGTCGTGAATGAATGGATGGTGCTAAACACCTCCACTGCTTGTGTGGTGACATGGAATAGTTAATGAAAACACACAAAAAAGATTGCAATAGAGGAAAAGCTGCTTCAGCTCAGACCCTAATAGGGAATTTCCTCTTCCGGGGAAAGTGAAAATAAGAATTTATGCCTTCTGATCACAGGTCCAGCTGGCTAGAGAATAGAAGCCAGGAAGGGCAGAAGCGAGCACAGAGACAGTCAGCAATGCAAAGGGTTCACATTGCTAATCAGACAGCACTTCAGTACAGCCAGCCAGCCCAGGGAAGAGATTATTAGAGACAAGAGAAAGGTCTGCGCTCTTGAGCAAGATAATGATGACACCAGGCAAATCTGTGCCCTAGAGGACAGCTTGAGGGATTCAGTTTGCAGAGCAATGAGCTGGAACAAAACGGACCTATAACATGTGATTGAAAATATGATGATTTTTTAAAATATTTATTACAGTAAAAGACATTTTCCTAACTCCCCCTTGTTTTCATTCATCCCATGGTTCTTGACACTTTCGGAAGCAAATGTCTTTAGGTGGGCTCTCGCCGCTGCCTTCATGTTCTGAATTGGCTCAGAATGTTTACTTTTCATGGTCATTTTGACTTTGGGGAAAAACCAGAGGTCACGCACTGCCAGATCCGGTGAAGAAAGTGGATGAGAACACACCATCATGTTTTAACTAGCTGTCCTCTCCATTGGATGTCACTCAGCAGCAGCATTCGCAGTATTTTAATCACTTTTTATAAAGAGGATTTCTAGAACTGCCTCCAAAAGTGGCAGGATAACGAGACAAGTGAGCTCATAAGGGAGGGGGAATATTTTGACAGAGATTAATGGCAGTGTGTTTCTTACTGTATGTAATTAATGTTTAAATTTTTAAATATTTATCATATTTTTCAATCCCCCACTTTAATTGAGATCGGGACAGTCTGGTGTGGGGGGCCCAGAGAGTTCTGAAAAGAGACCTGACATCAGATCATGGCCTGGACAAGAACTGAAGCTATTATCCCCTAGTCCTGCAGAGAAGTCAGACGTGGGTATAGAAACCACATTGTCTAAAACATGGGCAATACGTCCGAGATAGCTGTGCAGTCAACACAAAAGTTGCTCTCATCTGGAAGGTGGCCCATGGGCTGAGAGGGGGCCCTGGGGCTCTGCAGTCAGGCAGCCCAGGTGGAATCCTTGTTCTGCTGCTGATTAGCAGAAGACACGATTTTATCTGTAAAATGAGAATAAGCAGTGTCCACCTCTCGGGACTGATTTGTGGAGTACATAAGAAAAAACAAAAAGCACTTAGAAGAGTGTGTGGCAAATAGAATGTGCTCAGTACATGTGAGTTATAATTATCATGGGTAAATAACAATTATATGTCAAATTTTGCATTAAAGAATCCTTGTAGTTATTGATCGTGCACACTGAAACAGAGCTAGTATGGGTTGCTGTTACAGTCAGTTCTACTCTTGCCTTCCTACCTTCAGGGACATTGGCCTAATTTAAATTCTTATGACCACTGATACCCATATCTTTGATTGTCCCTCCTCAGGCTTGTGTGGCTTGAGGAAACAAATTTACAAAAGAAAACTCAATTTCCTAGAGTAAGTCTCTGCACAAAATATCAGCAGAAATAAATATTTACCTGTGTGTACACAAGAAAAATTCTTTCTTACACTTGCCTTGAAATATAAAGGGATGGAGAAATGTTACATTTCTACAAAGTAGCGTTGGAGAGAATGAAGGGATCTTAAATGCCTCATCGGTTTTCAGTTCTACTGTGTGATGGCAAGTATTTGCTTCATTCCAGGCCATACTGAAAGTGACTAAGTTGTCACAACTGTTTTTGAGGGCTTTTAATCGGGAGTGTGTTAACCACCGGTGCATGGATTTTAGGCAGAAGTACGTACTTTATGAAGTTGTAACTAAAACCTAGTACATTTGCAGGGTATGTGGCAAACTTTTCGGGGGAGTGAGTACATAGATTTCATACATTCCTAACGGGGTATACAGAGAGTGACTCAAAGGTTTAACAACTGCTGCTCTGTGTAGGTGGAGTTACAATTGTTAGGGTCACTCTGGGCGACTTGACTTGGCCATGGTCTGACCACCAACCATAGGACAGAGGGAGGTGAGTGTAACACCTAAATTACAAGCCTGTGTTAAAAGACAAAGGGCCTAAGAAACAGTGCTTTAACCCCCTCCCATTGTAGCCATAGCCCTGACCTTTGTTCTAACCGTGGTTTAGGAATGTAAGGAAATCTTGTACTGTTTGAAGTCCGGATCCGAATTAACCTGTAAGGTAGTAGTTCTAAACATAGAGACCCCAAGTTAATTGTCAAGCTAATTGTCAAACTGTTCGCTCATCCGGAATGTCTTGGTGATCTTTGAAACATCCTATAGGTGGTATCTGTTACTTACCAATATGTGACTGCCGAGTATGTGACTGCTGACCACCAGCTCAAGTCAGCAGACCTTTGTCCCCTGCCTGCAAGCCTAAAATGTTAACCTCCCTTTTTACCTCCCTATAAAAGGACCTCAGCCCCTGAGCTGGCACTTCTCTGAGCCAGCTACTTGGTTCCGAGAGCGCCGTCTGGCCAGACTAATAAAGGTCTGTTTACCATCTAGCCTGGTGTGTTTCTTCCTGGGTTTCTCGTTCCTCCGTCAAGCTCCCGGAGCCTTGTTGGGCTATAGGACCCAACATCGTGGAGGCCTTTTTGGCTGTTCATGCTCCACGGAGTGGAAGTGAGACTGCGTCTTACAGGGAGGACAGTCGTTCTCAGCGTGAAGCCTCTGAAGAGCACAGGTCCCCAGCTCAGACTGCCTGCACCAGCTGTGAGCTCCAGGCCCTGTGTGAGTTCCTTAAGCTTTCAATCCCTTTCTTTTTTGAACCATAAAATAGGATAATGATGTCACCTAGTAAGGGTCAGTGAGTGTCAGCTATGATCAGTATCTGGCCTCTCAGTTTGACCAGAAATAGCAATTGGAACATTTTGGTATCAATTCCATCTCTAAATATGGGGAGGCAGACTTGTTTCACT